TTTCACCGAAAGTGTTATTAACTTCCAACACAATGACTTTCAAAGAATTATTAATATCGTAGCAATAATAAAAGCTAACAGGATTAAATGCATAACCACAAAATCTTGGCATTGTAACTAACTCAACTCGACATAGGTTTTCTGTTGGTATATTCTTGATGCAAATAATTAAAATTTAATGAATTTAATATTTACTTATTAGTTAATAATAATATACCTTAAATTTTTAAAGAAATGAATGTTATCTACATGTTTTTTGATATGCCAGAATAGCTTTTCTTTTATTGATCTTTTTTTTTGTGATGTGTCTTTGGTAAGATCATGTTCATTAACATGACCAAGATAGTCATTATCATTTATATTAAAAATTGCCATTCGGTTATTGTATCCTAGTCTTTAAGAACCCGATTAATTCTTTTAAATAAATGAACTCTGAATTTGTATCGTTCAAAAAAAAAAAAAAGCTCACATAAATCCTCCTCGGCCATTTTTCTCAAGCAATTCCAAATCGACACCAATAAATAAAATTGGATATTCAAAAGCATGTTTTTTTGGAAAAAATCTAGCATGATAAGTTTTACCAAAATAAATTTTTTGAGTTTTTCCGAGTATTGATTTTGTCAGTGAATTTTTTAAGGTGGATGTAATCAATTTGTATAATTTTTTTATAAAATAAATTATCAGCATTACTTCAAAAACATTGATGAAAGGATATTGAAATCGAAGCAAATGAAAAAATGAACTCATTAAAATTAAATATGTTATAATGGATCGAAAAGACATTTTGAAACAGTTAATTAGATGAGTAATTGCTCGGCTAACTTTAATATATTCTGTCAAATTTTTAGCATACGTATCACAAGCCAAATTAAGTTAACATTAATCATTCTTAACATTAAATGCTAGATATTAACCCAATAACGATACGTAACGGTTGAAACTGCCGATCCTGACGCTGATAAATCGGTAAGACTTTTTCGTCCCATTGAGATGAATCGCATGATATAGAAATCATTGGATTCTGATCAATGAGTCACAATACTGCAATATGGGTAATTTGACAGATAAAGTGGTGGATTATTTTAAAAAAAGCAATTTTGTCTAAATCTTGTATTTACTTAAGTTCACAACACGTACATACACTTATACCGGTTATACTTCTTTGAAAATATTATTAGCGTTAGAGGATTGTTACGGTAAATTAATATACGGAAGTTAGTCAAGCAATCTTGTACAACTTGAAGTCTCGTGCCTTTGCAAGGGATGGTAAATGACCTGGTCATTTGATCAAAATTCAAATGACCTCAAGTCATCAAATAGTGACCCAGGCCATTTACATACATATAAAGTGAACTTTTTATTAATTTACTTTCGCATATTACGTTTATATGAAAAATTAAAAATTTTTTTTATATAAACATAAGACGTAGAAGTGAATTAATAAAAAGTTATTCAATTTATAAAATTTCAGAATATATGCAATTTATTATCCTGATAGCTTTTATTATTGCTACGATATTAATAATTCTTTGAAAGTCATTGTGTTGGAAGTTAATAACACTTTCGGTGAAA